TCGTCTCTGTGCCTGTCCGCTATGGTGTCCCTCCGCTCGTACTCGGGGGAGCGTTGCCTCGTCGCTTCTCGTCGTCCGCTCGAGGTACCCGTCTTTAGAGCCTCCTGCAGCTCTGTCGCAACTGGTTCGCCCCTTACGCCGGGCTCTCCGTCATTGGTTTGGTCAGCCCATCTCAGCGGTGCTTCTCGCCTAATTCGTTCCTTCAGATCCCTCAGAGCTCGATCGGGCGATGTCCTGTACTCCTCTCCCGCTTCGCCCGTAATCGGTTGTGGCCCCATCGTGTCGGGTTCCATTGGACCGCCAGAAGATGCAGTTAGGTATTTTAGCCAACTGTTACAGCCCGACCCTATGACAGCCGTTGTAGCCCGGACCTGTGACAGTTGCGGCAGCCCGGACCTGTTTCATTGTCTCGGCTCGCGTCCGCCTCCAATCTTAGCTCCCGACTGCCTTGATTACCACTTCCAGTATCCCGTACCGGTCGCGGATCTCGTGTTCTCCCTCTATCGCAAGAATTCCTGTGCCTAAGTAAACCTCTCCTTCGGGATCGGCCAACAAGGCCGTGCCTCTCCGGATTTGCAGTACACCCGTGACTGGACCTCTATCCTTGAGACAGATCGCAGTCCCAAACCTAGCCAATGTCTCCTGATCAACACCCCTCAAGAGTCTCCGAGTGTCTATCTCCGTCCTCCTTGCTAGTTCTCCCAGTCCTATCCTGAATCTGTTAGCCCGCTAAAGGCCCTCCTACTGCCATCCAAAGTCGCCCATCGACCTTCCTAGCTTCCACTATCCTTCCAAGAGCTTCCAATTTCTATTTCCACTCCCTTATCTCCCAGACGGCTACGAGGTCATTTGTCTAGCAGCTGAGGTAAGTTAGTGCTATAACCACTTGTAACCTCATCGCCGAGCGCTCCAATATGTCATAAAATCTCTCAAAGTCCTCCTTATCTCCAACATCCTCTATCGCCTCTAAAGTCTTTATCGATTCCTTCCAGTACCGGTCGTGAGCGGCTAACACCCTGAGTATTGCACCATCTGTTACAACTCTCCTTAACTCTCCACCTTTCCTGGCTTCGCTTATCTTCAACCTCTCAGCCTCTCTGATCGTCTCGTACCATGCCCTTATCCGAGACCGCCCTTCGAAAGGTGTCACTTGGAGTACGTATTTTATCCTCCGCCCTCCTTCTATTCCAATCCAAAGTCCTGTTCCCCTAGCCTCACGCAGCGCGTGATGGACACATTCTGCCTCCTCAACTATGCACAGTCTGGTATGGAGCTGGAGTTCTATGATCACTAACACTAATGGTCCGTCCAGTCTCCCTACCACATGTAATGAGTACCGACTCGTCGTGTGTAGTGCAGTCCCGCTCATGTCCTGTCGCTACTTCCCTTCGTTACTTTGTCTTCCGTTGTCTCGCTCTCTGCAGATCGCTCACTAGTTTCTTCGCGTGATACGCTTCTAGCCTTTACCCTCTCCAGAAAGTCTGATCTCCACGCCTGGATAATCTTTTTTTCCTCCCTAAACAGATTATCTAACTCTCTCGTCACGAGTTCAGCCCTACGCAACTTGCCCTCGTCCTGACACGACCAGATCTCCCTTAACTTGTTCCCCAACTTCTTTACCTGGTTCAAGAGTGGTTCTTTAACGC